CGGATGGCCAAGTTGGAGGCCTATAGCGGCCAAGGGGCGATGTGTGCTGGTCAGCTGTGCTGATTCTGACATTGCCTCACTCAGCGGGACTCACCGACACCGTCTCGGAGTCCCGGACCTCAGAGTTTTTGTTTTGGCCTCGGGCTCAAAAAGTTTTTAGTTGGATTTCAACCGCAAAGAACGGAATTTGCAAGGCAAGCAGTCGACAGAGGAACCCCGCTACTTGGTCACCGGCAATTGCTTTGGCCTTGCCAACGCGCACAGAGTTTGGTACAGGCATGTTTGCTCAATGTTGTTCAAGCGCAACTTCAAGACGCGTGACCTTGATCGTTGCGTGTTTTACCACACCATTCACCAAAGTGGAGAGGGAAAGATTGACTGCGCTTTGATCGTTCATGATGTTTTGGCTGTAGAGGCTTGTCAGCTGAAGGTTTTGGAGAGGACGCTTGAGTGGGGGCAGTGTCACCACACTCGATGGCGCCAACAAAGGCACCTACAGGTAAGGACATCGCCCTCTTGCCCTCGATCAAGAGCAAGGCGAATTGGAAAGTGAAAGTTGCTCGGCGAGAGTTCTGTGAAACCTTGCAGCCAGCTCTTGACAAGATGGACCAGAAGCTCACCTTGGAGGGCTGGACTAAGTTTCGCTCAATGGCAGGCTGCTTGCAGTGCAAACCGCCCTGAACAGGCGAAAAGCCTCCCAAAGAAGGGAGGCAAAACCGCGTTTCGAGACCTGATCAATATGGGTGAAGCCTTGAAACCATGGACTTCGGCGTCGTGATCCCAGGCATCAATTTGAGCGAGAGCCTATGCTGATCTTCAGCAGCCAGTACGGAGTTCTGGTGACCTGGTGGCTATCAGAGGTTACCGAAACCGTGACTGGAAATCTGGAAGTCCGACCGCAGCTCCAGGGTTTGCAGGTCCACCCGGCCGTTGCAGCTGACGAAGGCGCAGACAAAGGATATTTGGGATACGCGTATATATATATATGTTTATATTGTATGCATACATACATACATACTTACTTACATACATACATGCATACATGCATGCATACATACATACATACAGACATACAGACAGACAGACAGACAGACAGAAAGACAGACAGACACACAAACATACAAACATACAAACAAACAAACATACATACAAACATAAACATACAAGCGTACAAACATACAAACATACATACATACATACATACACACAGACATACACACAGACAGACAGACAGACAGACAGACATACATACATACATACAAACAAACAAACAAACAATACAATACATACATACAATACATAGATACATAGATACATACATACATACATACATACATACATACATACATACATACACACACATACACACACATACACACATACACGCATACAGACATGCAGACATACAGACATACACATATACAGACAGACAGGCAGACAGACGGACGGACGGACGGACGGACTTACTTACATACATACATACATGCATACATACATACATACATATTTGTCCTAAATCCTCTGGGGATCAATGTGGAACACTAATTCGGACCATGAGGCAGACTTTGAATATGTTTGACTAGTATCATGAGATGTATTCAATGCATAATTTATCATGCGGAGTCTCGTTGAACATGGCTTATCTCATTGTTTCCAAACTCAAACAGTGTTTGTTGGATCAACAAATCGTTTTGGTCACCCAGGTGAGCAGCGACACTCAGATGGTGCTTTTGCTTGGAACTCCTGGTGTGCTGAAACGGAAGTGGTGCATTGGGGAAATCGCAACGGCCTATTTAGCCAAGGTGGGGATCCGGATTGGCATCGGGGTTGGCGTCCAGCATGGCGTGTGTCAGCCAGGTCAGTATGCCAACTTTGGCATAGCCATGCGTAGCCTCCGAGACTTTTTTGGGCCGCTGGGGTGTTTTTTCCAAAAACATTGCCAAAAGGTGGAGATGACGATCTTGAGCTTTCCAACTTTTGAGATGCCGGATGAGCTCTTCATCTCAAATTATCAGCAGATAGTCCCTGAGGTGGTGGAACTTGCCGTGTATGGTCTGGGGCTGTCAGAGGTGCAAATGGCCTTACGCTCATTGAAGCAAGTGAAAGACATTCCCGTTGGCGACGTTTTCTCAAGGAACCGCTTGAATGAAATCGTCGACATCCTCACCAAGGATGTGGAGACGTCTTCCACACCGCTTACCTCCAAAAGCTACAGTGGGGACATCATGACGGTTTCGAACACACACTTGACAGAGTACATCATCTTGGCGGACCCCGGCAACTTTGATGCCATCGCCACTGCCGAGGTCCTCGGTCGCTTTATGGTGAGCAATTTACCGGACAAGGGCCTGTCTCCATGTGTCTTCACAGTGGAAGATGATGTCTCCAAGGACGTTTTTGAACCGCTTTGACCCCTTCCAAACCTCTCCATTCAGGCGGTCAATTGTTTGTTTCCGCTCCTGCTGCCAGGACACTTCCAACATCATTCTCCTGTTGACAGAGAAGTGTTTCCGCTCCGAACACATCGCTCACTGGCTTCTACAGGCCCGGGTTCCAGACCCCAAGCTCTTGCCAGTGATGGCAGATACCAAGTTTAAATTTCCAAACTCCACTGAGCTTCGCAGTGCTTCAATCACTTGCCGAGTGGATCATACTGCCTACGCTCAAGTGATCAAAGCAATCCTTCTTGAAGTGGCACCTCCTTTCATTTGTTCTGAGAGCTCAGAAGTGGATCTTTTGATCCGGAGCCGGCAAATTTGTAACCGCTTGTATGGGGATGTAAGGGTTTTAAGTACCAAGATGGTCATGGTGGGACCAGCTCACATCTCTGAACAAGGAACTGATGCTGAGCCTGCTGAGCCTGCTGAGCCAGTCGTAGAAAGTCCGGCAGGCCCGGCTAACCACCCAACTGCGGACAGTTCGAATCTTAGTCTTCAGCTGTTGAACCGCGGCACCAGCAGCAGCGCACAGAAACAGACTGTGGGCGAAGCCGAAGCAGTCTCCACGGCAGAGGTACATTTGGCCTCTGAAACCATCAGTCGAGCCTTTTAAACCTCCGGGTTCGGCCGGCTAAAAACGCTAGCACATGGGGCCAACACCCGTGCATAGTGTTCTGTTTCAAGATTGTTTCACAACCCTAGTTCTTTGGGTCCTGTTTCTATGATCCTGAGAAGAATCTCAGTGATCTTGACTTTTGTACAGTCATACGACATCAACAAAAATCCACAAAGGTTGGCAAAAATGTTTCTTATCCTTTGTGCGATGCAGGGCTGGAACCAGCTCCGGCTTGGATTTCCCGTTGGAAAGCGCTTTCAGTTGGCATCGCTCGAGCGACCGTGCATCGCTTAGACCGAAGTTCTTCACCGCTTCGGTTTGGGGAATCCAGTTGACGCCGTCGGCAGGTCCGGTTCGTCGGCAGGTGCCCAGGCAGGGCGGTGGCGTTGTCCCGCGGCGTCCGATCGATCGCTCGCTCCGAACGGTGCGACGTCGGAACGCTGTTTCTGTTTGCCCAAGCGATGTTCGTCTTCTTCAATTCCTTTTTGGCTGGCAAACAGCGGTTGGGCAAGTGGATGATCCGCCCCCTCCCCATTCGAGTTGGTTGGTGAAAAACGCCTGCTTCACGAAGACTGGCTCTTGCTTTCTGTTTCAAGTGCGACACATGAACTTAGGCATAGTCACTCGAGCGTCAGTGGTTCACAGCACGTTCTTGCTTTTTCAGTGTTCTTAAACCTCTGGGTGTTAAGTATTCCGGAACCAGCTTCTACACCCAGAGGTTCAAAAGTGTATAAAAGTGTTAACTGCTTCCGGAATCCGGCTTTGTCAGGCCAATGTCGCTTTTGCTCCGTCGGGGCTCTGAGTGGGTGTTGGCAATGGTCGACTCGTTTCGACTCGCACGATTTGTGTCGCTTGGTTACTCGATTGGCCAGACAGTGTCAAACCGTGAAGCGAATGCTGTCGGTGCTTTGCGTTGAGCTTTGGGCTCCAAGATATTTGCTGGTCAACCTTTGATTCCGCGGCATTGGTCAAGAATCAAGCGGCTATGAAAGCCTTGCAGCGATCAAAGCAGGGCCAGATGATGTGGGTCCATCGGTTGTAGGTCTTTCGACCATTCACAACACCAAGTTTCAACTGGCCTGGCGGCCATCCATAGTCCCGGGCTGTTCCAAGCTGTCAATTGATCCATACAAAGTGTGAAGATTGCCACACCCAAATCTCTTGTTCACATACGCAAACCAGGCACTTGACGGACGCCAGGCGAGGGCCAGGCTCGTCACGGCCGAGTTGGACCGTCGAAAGACGAAGACGGACCGTCCGGGCGTGACGGGATCCCGTCACAGCATCGGTCCATTGGACCCGGCGTCCCGGGGTCCAACCTGAGAGGGGACGACCAGTCGGCCCCTTCAGAAACCTCCGGGCGGGACGACCCAGCCTCCGAAGGTCGGGACCACCCTCCGAAGCTTCCCCCGTGACCTGTGCCGCGCGGACGCTCGCTGAAGGCGACCTTGCTCGGTGGCAGCTTGTGCCAGCCGTTTCGGAAGCTCCAAGCCTTCAGACCGCGCAGATGATGTGGAAGGTGGGGAAGCTCCTGTGGGAAGATGCGCCAGGATACTTTTGCATTGCATATGAGTGACAAGATATGATATGAGCACGATACTGTATGTAAGTGATCATACATGCATGGTTCATGCAGTCACAATTCAATTGTGCTCGTCATACACCGCCCATAGGATCATCGCCGCGGCCTCTGCCTGCTTTCACTGACCCTGACCGAGGTTGGAGATGCGCCCGTTGAGGCCGGTGCAGGTTCGGAGAATCCGTTCCGAGGACGTGAAGGTTCTTCTCTGGCGGCTGAGAATCCTGGGGCAAAGAATACCAATCAGATTGACCTCCCTCCTATCATTTCACCAGACCTCTCCCCCTGACAAGCGCTTTTTCATCGGTCGTGACATGTCCAAATGGGCCAGGTCTTGTACTCCAGATGGGATGGGAATGTGCTGAAACTCACCCAAAGCTGCGGATGACGGGACACCTGTCAGGGGGCGTTGGGGAAGACCGACTAGCCGTGACGGAACAATTAGCGACGGTATTGTGTAGACCAGATTTTTAAAACATACTTACACATACTTACACTTGTTTCATATGCATTCACGTTAGCGTGAAGCGACCAAGCGATAGTTGGTGCAAAAGGTCGAGGTCATCCAAGCGGTGTCAAGAAGGAATGAACGGGGTGCTTGGTTCGTGCATGGGTCAATCATCACCCTGTTTGGTTTGTGCAAACAGCACTCAGGGATCGAATATGGCATCACAAGCTTGGGTTCTGCTATGATATGTTTTCAGAAACCATCGCCAGGAGGCATATGCCAAAGAATGAAGATGTTGCCGTGGGCGATACAATTGAAGCTATTCGCCTACACGCGGTATGAGGAATGTCACACACAAACATCAACAGGGTACATTATATAGAACTTGTGAACTGACAGTTTCACCGGGATAGGGAGATGATCGACGTTCAATCATATGAAGGTCCGTACATAAATTCAATCAAAAGCGAACGCTTTCAACCCATTGCTTTCCACTGCTAATACGGCTTTATTTGACAGTTCCTCAATTCTTGACATGCCCAAACATTGTTTTTAACTCAATTTTTGCTTGCCACAACAAGTTAGACGTTCCTTTTGAGTCTACAACCACCAGCGTTGGTGATATCCGCATGAGTGTTGTACTGGCTGCTGGTATCGATCGACAGACCGTCAGTAGAATCATTCAAGACAAGATGTGGCAAACAAATAGAAGCTGCATCACCGCGCCATTTCTTCCCATTTTGTGGGGTACAAGCCCTTTCATTTCGGTCTACCAAAAGCACCTGACACATGTAAGCAACTCTACCCATCTCAAGTCTACCCATTTCCTGCAGGGTACAAGCCCTTTCATTTCGGTCTACCAAAAGCACCTGACACATGTAAGCAACTCTACCCATCTCAAGTCTACCCATTTCCTGCAGGGGTGGCTGTGTTCCCACCGCTTCGATGTGCTGGTCTGCCGCGTGGCGGTCAGCCGCATGGAGGTCTGCCGCGTGGCGGTCAGCTCCGGGCTCCACCCGAGCTCCACCGGACCGGCTCGCCGTTGGGAGAGCCTTCAGAGGCGACCTGATGAGGTGAGGTGATGGTCGCAGTGTTTTGCAGTGGTTGTTGATGTCAGTTGATGTTTAAAGTCACAACTGATCATTTGACATTCTGGTTCTGCAGATCTGCAGTTCTGCAGAGGGTGAAGTGATTTGTTTGGCAAGAGAGATCACCTCAGCGCCTTGGATTTTTCTGCTCTTTAGCCATGGTCACGTAGCCTCGGAGATGGGCTGGATGGCTGCGAGCTTCATCTGAGTTGTTCCGGTCAGCGGGCTGACCGGCTGGATACCAAACGTTCGTTAGACTGAAAGTTGAAAGACTTACAAGATTCATCAATATTCCATGTAGCTGTCGGGAAAACGAAGATTTTCCGCTCCTCGTCCATCATTTCGCTGCGTGTTTTCGACATCTACCTGGAGTGCGCCAGTTCTTAGCAGCTCAACAGTTCTTGGATTTTTTCTCCCCATCACTGCTGCATCCTTAATAAACTCAACACTTTTCTTTGGGCTGACCCTTTTTCTGCAGCTCAACATTCTCAATCTCTTAAGGTAGGAGCTTCCTGCAACCTTCCCTGGATTCCTGGCAACCGCCCTCTTTTTCCAAACCTCCCGTGCATGGAGAGTCGGTTGGTGGCCGTCAAACCAGGTCTGATTCGCCCTCGGCAGCTCGCTGAACTCCCCAGAAGGTCTCAACAGGCGACCTGTGGCGATGCCGCCGTCTCTGCAGGAAACGTGTTTTCTTTTTGCAAACGGTAGCTGTGCAGCCATTCATGCCTGGAAAACACACCGTGTGTATTTTCCTGCCTGTAACCATCATGATGGTTTCGTTGATGAATCTTCATCCATCCCGATCAGGATGGATGTCGCCCTGAAGTGTGCAGTGCCAAATGCCGCGGGAAGATGTTCTTCTATTTTGTGGAAGCTTGTCATCAATGAACTGGGACACCTTATCACATCTTATCACCTATATAGATATATCGTGAAAAGAGATGACCGAAGGTTTTGGCACTGTGCAACTGACGTGGTCTTTTGGACGCCTTCCCTTCACTGCCTACGCCTGCAGTTCTCGTGAACGATGGGGTCTACAGTTCGCGTGAGAGAAAAAGCAGCACATGGGTGTGTAGCTCAAAGGAGACCTCCCAGGAGGGAACGACCTCCGCTGGAAGGTTCGGGAAATAGACCGAAAGTTCATGCCAGAACTTGGTTGGACAGCGGGTTGGACAGATGGGCAGGTGCTTCATGGAACTCGCATTTGCTTCAACTTGAAAATCTTTGGCCGAAGGCACACCGAAAAGAAGTCGTGTCATCAGAGGGCAGGTGAGGTCTTTTACAGCTCACGAGAGAGTCTTCTTCAGCTTTTTTTCGCCACCAATCTCAGCTTTCAAGCTGCAGTTGCTCACATTCTGCTCCCAAGGTCAACTAGGAAATTCTTTTCCTTCATTGTCCGACATCAATTCGGTCCATCCTCGACTGATCGCAAGACTTCGGGTGATCTGGAGAGATTACCTGATTGACTGGGACATTTTTCAACTATCTGTCTCTTTGTGTCCTTTCTTCAAGCAATCGTTTATCATCATTCCTGCTTTTGATTTGTTTGGTCTCTGGGTCTATGCTGCTGCGTGATCTCCAGAAACAAACTATACAGAGACTTAACGTTCGGACTAAGCGCTCAAACAAGTTACTGGACAAGACGAGCGTGCTGATTGGTTCGAGTTGCGGACTTCTTGCGTTGCTTCCGTCAGTTTCTTCGAAAAGTCTGGCACATGTTGATGTCCCACTTGCTTGTGAGGTCCAAGCCGCGGGAATTACCATGTGGTTCGTGACAGCATGTGCAGACGATCCCAGATTGCCATCCTGGTTACTAGTAGAGATTATGAGGGGTACGTTGTCGAAGGGATTGCAAAGCATCCCTTTTCGCCATGGCGGCCGTGACCAAGGATGAACTTGCCATAGGCCGTTGCTTCATGTTACTGGAGTTCTTGTTTGCAGGAACATGATTTTGTTGTAGATCCGAGTAGACTAGAGAGGCCGGCAAATGGTAGGCTCAATGAACGGGGTGGTGTAGTTCTGAAATCATCTGGAATTAGTATTTTGATTGCAGCTCAGTTGATGCTTGCACGGCTATGTTGGCCCTTTGAATCTTTCGGGATACAGGAAAGCATTTGTGAGATTTGTTTTCATTGAGGCACGAAGGTGACCATCAAAGTCAAGGAGCAGGAGTGGAGGGAGTGCAGAGACACAGATGCGCACTCTATTTTGCTGGCTGGAGTAAGCGTTTGACATTGATGCGAAATGATGCGAATATAGGATACAGAAGCACCATTTCAAAAGGCAACCTCACCTAACTATGTCACATCTTTTTTCCTGTACGGATCCTTCCCTAACTGGAGACGATGCCAGGTCGGCCACCTGCAAAACGACGCCTGACGCAGTGGCCACGCTCAGGAGATGCTCGGCTTCATTCGCTTCCAGGGCACCACCGACTTCTCCGAGGGCGATTGGGTGGGAATCGAACTGGAGGACGAACCAGCGACTCGCCAGGGTTTTCATCTTCGTCTCGCGTGGTTTGGGCATCAAGTCGAAGATGAAGAGTTCGATAATCCCAGATGAGGCGGAGGAATCCTGTTTTGTGGAGGCACCATGTCTTCTCTTATTTGGAACAGCAGAGCCGAAAAGATGTGAATGCCGGCTGAATGCGGCTCTGACGTTTTGCCCCGTGGCTGCCAGGGCCCTTGACTCTTGAGAGGCTTCCAAGTGGCAACACGAGCTGGGTCCAATGGGTTTTCAGCGTTTCCGCCAGTGGTGGGTCCAAGCTTCAGTCTCCGGCGTCCAACGGGAATCGAATCGAGGCGGCTCAAGAATTCATGGGGCATTTGGCAGTGCGAACTTTGCAGTGTAGTGACAGCGGGTGCATTAGACAGATGATGGGAGTGCTTCCCACTGATAGATTTCGATAGATGCTGGGTACAAGTATAGATCCCTTTGAGAGCCTTCACACTTGGAGGAGCCTCGTGGCAAGAACGATGGCTCTGTCGCAGAGAAGCGCTACTTCACGTGCAAGAAACTTGATTGCAACATGTCGTTTTTAAATCACACTACCAACCTCCCACAAACGTATAGTTGTGAGTTTTGTTTCTTTTCCACAGGTTCATGGTAGCCATGGTGAGTACGACATGATTGTTCCAGAGCATCAGCAATCCGAGCGGTGGACACGGCGAGGCCTGAGCATGGGCTTTTCGTGCGACCCTTCCATGTCCTGCGCATCGAGGACACGAAGCAGCGAAGCGGCAGTGTTAAAGAAGGAAGCACCGTTATCCGGTTTGCTTCGAAGGACTGATAAAGGATCAAACCAAGAAAACTATTGATCAACACACATCAATACTAGTAGTTTGGAGCCAGATCAGTTTATCATGAACGCTTCTACCAGCTTTTTGTGAAGGAGAATCCGTTTCTTTTTGGGGTCCAATTTTAGTGACAACTTCCTGTTGACCAACCGTTTGAGCCAGCAGATTCCCTCCCAGTTGGGCACAAATATGGGTGACCATGGAGTTGCTGAAGATGCTCGCACTTCCCAACAGTTTGTTTCTTCCACCTTACGGCACAAGGTTTTAGAGAGCGATCATTTTTGGAGAGGACGCAGTACCAAGTTCCAATGAGGAATCATGCCTTCTCCCCGAAGTCTTCCGTATTTCATTCCCTGTTTTCCCTACGGTGACTGAATCAAAGCCCAAGCCAGCTAGGTCAGCTAGGTGGCTTTTCTCTCCCTCACTTGCTCCGCTTCCTCCAAGGGAGAACGGCGAACGGAACCTGCGCTTGGAGCTGGCGGAGGCGGGACCGGACCGGGACCGGACCGGGGTCGGTCGGACCGGCGCAGAGAGCATTGCGCCGCGCCGAGTCGCCATGGGCCCAGGTTGCTTAGACTAGATCCTTTTTGAGTGAAAAGCGACTGTTCCAAGGACGAACTTGTAAGTTTACACATGACACAAAAGCACTTGCAAGACAATTAAGATGCCTGCGGCGAGTGTAGTTTCGTTGCAGAGTCAGGTGTGGTTGTAGAAAGACATTTCCTAAGGCAAAGCTTTGCAGGACTTGTGGAGTGTTTCCAGAGCTACATGCATGGGTGATGAGCCCAAATGGTTCTGGCATAGATTTAACCTCAACCTTCAGGCACCAACGTCCCAGAAAACAATGGTTGTCTCCGCACCTAGCAAAGCTAGTCTTAATTTTTGCTGGCACAGGGGCGACAACACAAGGCTCCATTCGATAGGATGCTTGCGGTTTCGTCAGCTACCTCAAGCGTAGGAACAATCCGGGGGTTGTGTTGGAAAGGGCCGTTTGACCGTTTGACCTCTCTTTTCGAGACGTTCGTGTCCAGGCTGTGGAGGAGAATGATGATGTTGCCATTGAACGGCTGCTGCCAGAAGCCGAGAAGAAGGGCGTGATTGAGCAAGAGCCGTTCCTGCAGTTAGCTCCGGCGAGGACACACAGGACCAACTGGGGTGTACCAGAGCTTTGAACCATTTGTTCACTTGTACTCTTGTACTAGTTACTAGTGACTAGTGTCCACCATAAAAGGGTGGGAGTGGATCCGTAGCGAAGTGTAGCTTTGTCCAATTTGAATGTCCAAGCCTCACCTGGACGGAAGTGCCACAGTTTG